GCCAACTTAACAACATAATATTGACTTCAAAATTATAATTTTTACGTCGCTTAATTCTGTTAGAACTGTCACGAAAAATAACAATAACAAATATAGTATTTTTCTGTCAAATAATTTTATTTTCAGTTAATTGAATCAATATTTTTCTAATCCCTGACAGTCAGACGCACATGTTCATACAGTGTAGGAAAATACCGATGGTCTATCAGAAGTTACGTGAGAGCGATAAAGTAAGCCATAGAAATCCATGTGATAAACAAGGATGGCTATAATGAAGGCGTCTAATAGTCAACGCCCATTTCGCCCTTCCACAAATAAGAAGTGGATCTTATTTGTGGAAGGGCGAAATGGGCGTTGACTATTAGACGCCTTCATTATAGCCATCCTTCTCTATCGCATGGATTTCTATGGCTTACTTTGTCGCTCTCACGTAACTTCAGATAGACCATCGGTACTTTCCTACCCTGTATATTTAATTATGCGGTAGTTCAACGTAAATAAATCGAACGCCCGCAACGAGTGTTTGTATTGTGGTAGTCCGACCAGTACAACGTGGATCGTTAGGGCGAATCTAGGGCGATATTCGATCGAGGCCATGCGGGTATTAAACCACTTTTTCTTTAATTTCCATTTTATTATGCGGGTTTTTGCGGTGTTACGACGCCGCTTCCCAAAACTCCGTATGGTAAACGGGGAACTGCGTACTTATTTGCGCTCCTTCTGGCATCGCCAGCCTTAATTCCTTTGTAAGCGACCTCGCTCCGGACACATTCGAGTACACTTATAGGGTGTACCAAATAAAAGTCCAATGAAATTGAAAATTTTCGCACTTGGACCTGCAATGGCCTTCCGAACTTCCAGAGCTTAATCCAATTGATTTTTTTATTTCGTCGGACGATTTACTTTCCTGGATATTTTTAAATAATTGTTCTTTATTTCGGTGTAAATACGTCTTGTAAGTATATTTTTTTAAATATATTGTGACATCATTCTGTCGACAATAATATGGGAGGTTAAGCCGGCATATCCAGCGTAACAATTATCAGAGTAATTATGTTGTTTACCAGCAGAAGCAAATTGAATGCAGTGGACTGATTCAATTTTAGTTGCTGTTTGACCTAGCGGAAGATGAATGTAGTGTCTCGGTAACCACCAACCACAATTGCCGAGCTTGATTACTACGTCTATAAATAGTGACTTAATTGAATAGAAATTCATTATTATGTATAATTCCAGACAAATCTGCATGTAGAAACTCAACGACAAAACAAATTTAAATATATAATTATGTCCCATTAAATAATAATCAACTTTTTGATAAGTCGCTCAGTTTATTTGAACATTTTTCTGTATCTTCAATAACAACAGAGACAGATTTTAGGTGGGGAGGGTTGATAATATGATACACTGACATTTTTAACAAACTTTCTAATAGGCAAAATGGCTTTTCGTAACAGAAAGGGGCGAACATATTGAAAACTGTTGGGGCGCAGCATTTTGTCTATATTCACCGTAAGCCAATGGCATATAGATCAATTCGAGATTACTATAATTTTACTAATATCGAAACACGAGATTTTAATGCGTAAGGATGACAATTAAGAAACAACTAAGATCAGTCCAATCAGAGGTTGAGTCCTGTGGAAACAAAACAAACAGCCAACTAAATTTTCTGATTTTAAAAACACGGTACTCGAACAATGATGAGTTTGTATTATTATTTAAAAAAATCTGCCATTTCTAGGCAACTTTTTCTAATGTGAACTTTTTATTACAGACTCTCCTTTGTTATACTTTCCGAACTTTTCCTTTTTCTCGTCAAATTTCAAGGGGAAAATCAACATTGAATAAGATTTTGTATTACCAAATGAAATAAATTCGGAACATTGTTTATTTTCTGAACGTATACTGTACTTTGTACTTGCCAAGGATTAGTCTATTTGCACCTTTGCACCTGCTCCACTTACCATGTTGATGGCAATCTAAGTTAAATTTCAGAAATACTTGCTTCTTAACTAAAGTGGCTTGTGAGCTTGTTTTGTTTGATTTCGAAAAACAACAGTGTTTAGACATAGAGGCATTTGTCACTGTTGTCAAGGAATTTTTTAGTAATGAAAAATCACACTTGATATGTCAAAGCGTATTATAAATACAAAACCGAGTTATGTGTTGGAAAGAGAATATTAATTTGCAGCTAGTTGAAGTTTTTATCTAAAGTACACCACCCACGATCAAGCAATATGGACTGAATGAATATGAAAATGAATGGAAATTCTTTATAAAGTTACTGCTGAATTGCGCAACCAAAGAAATATAACTTGAAAAAAGTGTCACAAAGTAGCAAATGAAAAAGTTTCATTTTCTCTTTCTATGTCTTGCAGTTTGAATCAACTTAAAAAGTCTGCTTAAAAATCAGAACTTCTATCTAATTTCTAATGCTTATGCTCCATGATTTTTCCTGTAAGGTTCGCCTAAATACGATATACGCTATCGTGTGTGGCCGGCTTATAAAAATTAAGTGCAGTGGGTACTCAGTCGTATTTTTCTGTAGAGTTCAATGGCTGTTAGTATCTTGTTTCAATCTTTTAACGCTTTTATACCTTGTCGATTTTACTGATGCCTTTGAGTGTCATCATTTCGCGGAACACTTTGAAATCGTTGATAAGGACCATAAAATTTATCGGTCACGGTCCAAGCAGCAGGCTGTAAAAAGATTTAATTAAGTTGTTGTTGATAAATAATATAATCGACGTTTGGAAAAATTCATTCCGGTTAAAAATAATTGTTGGATGTAAACGTAAATAACAACTGCTTGCAGTAAATATTTTTACCATAATGTTTGCTATATTCCACATACATATGTTTTTTATGACGTTTTCAGATAAATTATACATATTCGACGCTAATTAAAAAAAAAATAAGTTTTGACAAATTGATATTCGGTTTTGTGTACAAATTAAAAACAACGAGGTTGCCAGCGATAAACGTTATCTCAACACTTATATCGTAAATATTAAACAAGTTGATGACCTAAAATCCTTATCATTATTTAATTCCATACGAAATTATCATTCATTACGGGGATATTCAAATAATATGGGTATTTATGTATAACCTAACCTTGCAACGCGGTTTCTTTTTAGAAAAGAAAATTCACTTTCACATAACCTAGTTTGTGAACATCTTTTAATTGTTCTCGGAGAAGTAGAATTGATTATTACTAATAATGAAATACATTTGCAAGTATAGTGTTTCCGATGTCAGTTCAACATGTATAAAAACGCCTAGCAATAAAATTTAATGAGTTTCATAGGCGTCCCTAACAAAGTTTTCTGCTAAAGGTAAAAAATAATGTGTATATAATGTGTAGGAAATTTCTATTGTATGTTCATTTGGCCAACAACATATTTTAATTATTTATGTCCTCAGACAATTTTATTATATTGATGGCAATTTCGTTTTGTTCCATTTCAAAAGGTCTCTAAAATGCCATGTTGTAATAACATCAGTATTTCTCCCTTTCGCAATTGTAATATGAATGATTAATAGAATGTGCATATAATAAATTAAAATTACCTGAATCATGCCAAATTCACTGCACTGCTAGACAATTTATTTACCACTTGTCAACAACTGAAATTTATTGCCCAGTCGCCCAGTGCGGCGAACCTGGTACCTACTGCCAACCTCTTGGTTCTTCAGACTGAGATTGGAAAGAATGTAAACCATAATTTGTTTTATGTGCATACAGAGTGAGACAAATTCTTGAAAGAACTATAGTATAAAAAATAAATTCTGCAGATAAACTCGTATTTGTTGCACGCACTTGCTGTTATATCGGAGTAAATGTCCTCATTATGAACGGTGAGTGACCCCACCCCATTCTATGGTTGTCGTGCGTTGTCTTTGGTTATTCCCATCGTCCCCATTAGGTCATCTCGTGTCATGGTGTATGGCGTGTAGAGCTCCATTAATCCGGTTATTTTGATGAAAATTATGTTTAAATATAATGGTTTGATTACAATAATTAAAAACAATAATATATTGTGCCTCGATTACTATTTGGTTAAATAAATGGATAATATGTAGTCAAATTGTTATCTATACTTACGTATCTGTAACGTACAATATAGGTTATGGCAATCTATTTGTCCGATCAGTTCACCAATTCCTTTAATCGAGACCTAAAATATTGTCTCTAAAACAGATCTGTGTATAAACCACTGTGGCAGCTTAATAGTTTATGACTAAAATACAATTATATTTAAATTAAAATTTAAAGAGAATATAAAGTGGTGCAAAACCAGTCCAGGTATTAATGAAATGGAAGCAGCAGGGGCTCTGGAACGCCTCCTTTTGAAATTTTCATAGAGAAAAAATTAACTCTTATTTGGTAATTGTACTCAGAATAGAATCAAAAGTCATTCACTTGATAGTTAGCAGAAACTCAGATTTGAGTAAAATTCACTCACTTTTTTTCCAGTGTATGATAGCAAAAAACAATACATATTGACTATAAGTATTTCTGAATTCTAAACTCTTTATATTAGTGGCATACCATTGTCTGCAGTTTTTGAAACAGTGGTAGAAAATGTACAAAGTATATACGGTGTACGTAAAGGTAAACCTGGTAATGTCAGATTAAACTGATTTACAGTTCCATCTTACTTTACATTTCGAGACACTAAATATGTACCGTTTCGTTGGTAAATAAGTATTATAAATATGTATAGTGTCATATATTTACATTAAAATAAATTTACTGATAAAGACTGATATATGTATTTGTCACATTTTCAATGTGTGACTGTACTACTTATCTTTTCCAAGTCTAAGCCATCGCCTAAGAATGTTTTTTACTGCAACGCCAAGTATTTTACATTCAAGCATATGTTTTTTTAAATCTACTAACTATTTTTGTTCCCCTCAAAATAATGTATATTAAACATAAATAATTTTGTGTTTATTATAAACGAATTCTAGACTGTTTTCTGTTTCAGATGGGAGTGTAGAAGCGAGAGAAAATGGAAAGCTGACCTAAGGAGAAACCTCCCCCCGATACCATTCTCCCGCAGTTCCCAGCCCGCTCTCCCGAAGAACTTGTGTAAAAATATTGATATTTCCAAACTTGTGTGAATACTTTGATTGCTATATAGTGCCAGTAGTTCGTACGTATACCGAGACTTCGTACGTATACTATACGAGTTTATATTGTTGAATTAGTGATTATTAATCGTTAACAGATATATAATTCGGGTTACTGAACACGTTTATTTGGGTTTAATATATAGGACTGAAGTTGGTCTGCGGTTTTCACTGAAGTTTGGGATTTTAATAGGTAAGTGATTTAATATGTTTTCCTTGTTATTTTACTAATTGATAGGCATTTTAATCATTTTTGTTTTTGATCCTTGATAGTTGTCATAAACATCATTAAAGAATTTATTTTTGCTACCTGTTTTTGAACCCACGCTTTGAAATTAATTATTTAGAATTTGGTGTTGTGTAGTCATCGATATGTTTTTATTTTTCTATTTCAGAATTACACAATTCTTCCTAAAAATACTGCCTACCAATACACATCCCGAAAACGATAAAATTGCAGTTTTTATCAAGTGTAACTGTATATGGTTGTTTTAAAACGGTTGTTCCTGGTGTCGAGTTTCTATTTCAGTGATACAATAAAAATCCGCTCTTGCAATAAACTGCTGACCTTGTCGAAATCATTGCATTTTTATGGCTTAAACGCTATTCTCACACCTTACCCAGTTGACTTGGTAACCGTGTCACAGCTGTGTCTCTAAATTTTCCATTGGTATTAAGAAAACATCGATGAGTAGATAAATTAAAAAAAAAACAGGAATATTAAAATGTGTACTTCTACTTTTCCCTCGTTAAAAAACAGTAGCTGGATTTTTACAGCAAACAAACAAAAATACTTTTTATAGTTTTGCACAAAGACTTATTTTTTATGGACAAATATTATTATTAGAAACTGGTCTAAAATATTGAAAATTAAAAACTATATATCAAATTGGCATTGACAAAATTGATTGTTAGAATTATCTACGAGTGAATCTTAAATGAATACGTTTATTTTAAACAGGGCTTCAGTTTATTGGGTTTGTGTATAATAATATGAAATTAACACTTTTTTTGCGTACAAATTAGGAATATAAAGTCGAATTTAAAATAATTATGCATGATTTTTTAAGGGAAAACTTATTGAGAATTACTGCCTTCTCTGTAAAATTAACACTTAACTTTTTATTGCAATAGGAAGAAACTCGGGAAGAAAAAAGCTAAATAAATAAGCGTATTTCTTGATGCTTGAAGAATCTATAAAATGTCTTCTTAAAAATATTTTGGCCTTGCCATTTTCGTCTTCACCAATAAATTATTTCTATTTACACAAATTAGCGTCTACTTATAAGGCCAAGCAAATAAAATTTTGCTTTTTTTGATTTTTGGCCTAGAAACTTATTTTAATTTTTACATTCACAAAAATAAATTTATTAGACAAAATAATACCGAAAATAATAAAAATTTTATAAAAATAAGAAAAAGTATCGTTGATAAAATTGACATATCTCGGTTGATTTGAATTGTACAAACTTCTAACCAGGCACCATTTTAAAGGTCTTGAAACCAGCTTTCATTTGAATATGACATTACATATACCTAAATTAACTCAGAAAAAAGTTATAAGACGAAAATCGTCAAAAAAGGGCAAAAATTGGCCAAAAATCCAAAAAGTAGCCAACTTTGATCCAATGTATCTCGGTTTCTATTAGTCGCAAGTACTTTTATAAACGTTTATTTTAAAGGAAAAAAACGTGAACTTTTATTTCTGTGAAGCAATGCCTATACCTAACTGCTCTCAGAAAAAAGTTGTGGGCCAAAAACCAAAAAAAAAAAACCAATTTTTCCGGTTTTTTTACCCGTTCTTTGGGCATATTTTTGTGAACCATTTTTTTGACCTCAGAAGGTCTCATTTCGATGGGAAATTCAATTTGCTACAACTTTTCTGTTGACAACTATAGTGAAAAAATGCATAGTTTTCGAGTAAAACTCAAAAAACTGAACATACCACCTTTTTACTTCGTTCTCAAAAACGCACCCCTTTGAAAGGTAGCACTCCGCGGTTTTATCATTTTTAGGGTCAATTGAACATATCGAACAATAAAATTTCTGTTACGTTGTAGTTCCTGCCTAAAGTACATAGTCAACAGCCTAGATCAGCTCTTTTGACATTAGTCTGTCCTCTCTAATTTAAGTTGTTTAAGAGCTTTGTACGATGATTTGTCGTTCAAAGCAAAAATTACCTTTTTGGTTTTGATAAATTAATTACTCGAAATTTAATGATAGCATAGAAAATCTAAGCCGTGTTTTGAAAACCTCAAAATATCATGTATATGACGTTTTTTGACAAATAATTTTTTTCCATGCACAAAACTTGCTTGAAGATTATATACAAAATTGCTTATTTAAGGGTTTTCGCTAAACTTGAGATAACTTTACAAATAATAATTGATAGACCAAGGATATTTCCTTTTTTTTTTACCTCAAAGAAACCCTCAAGAGTTCAAACTGCTGCGATTTTTCTTTCATTGTGATCCGAATGATTGAAATTGACACTTCTAAAAATCAATTAAAGGATAAATTTCGTCCAAATTTTTTTAATTTGAAAATATTTTTTTCGCCAAAATCCATATTTTTGTTTTCATTAAAATATGTTAAATATAGATAAAAAATAAGAAAAAAATAATTTTTGAATTCACATTCACAAGCAAAAATTTTGAAAAACGATAAATGATAAAAAAAATTTACTTTTAGAACCTGAACTAGAAACTTCTTTAATTTGTTTTTTTTTTGTTGCTCTACCACCATTTTTCGCCAAGCTACAGCCTTCTAAAAACACCTAAAAATTTTTTATCTTGAAAATCGGGTATGAATCACAAAAATTGCTTTACTACTTTGTTTAGATCGACTAAAATCGGTTTCGGGACATTTAGAACGTATGTAAATATCGTCTTTATTATTATGCTTTCCACGTTACACGTTTATTTCATGAAACACTTCAATTTTCCAGAGTTCACCTCTAGAGCTTGTAAAACAAGTACCTAATGGTGGCCCCTTTGAAAGGACAGTAGGATATAAAGATATAAATAACCCCACCCGAGAATATTCGAAAATAAATAGAAATATGCCCGTCTTTAAACAATTACAGCGCTGCGCGAATGCCAACAGAGTTATAGCGTTTGGCAGTGCCGGGAGAAATTGTCCTTTTCTTATTTAATGTAAAGTTTATTGTCACCGATTTTATTTCGAGGTACTCGTGTTTATCTACCAACTAGTTCAAGTTCAAACAGATTCCGCCGTTAAAAATAGAAACATGTGACGGTATTACGCCATTGCTCGACATGGCTTCCACTGGGTGTTGCTTCAAATGTGGGCAATTAGATCATGAGTCGATATTTTGAAATGGAACAATTCTGAATGAAGTTAGAAACGTTACGAACGAACGTTAGAACGAACGAACAGCTTAAAATTTAAATAATGACATATTCACTGATATTAGGCTTTTACATTTGTTGTAAATTTTGTAACATTAATTATAAAACAAAATAAATATATTCTTAATGAATTTCTCAAAATGAATTGATTCGTAAAGATTGTAATAAAAATAACTTTAATCCAATTTAAATTGGTGAAGCTAAAAATTATATCAACATTTCACAAAAACATTGACGTACCACTAGGGGGAATAAAGTGACTAACAAAATTGTTTTGCGAACCTTAAGGAGGTATATCGGGGTCCGAGGGAAGTGATGAGCGCAGGGGGGTCCTATGCTTTTCTTATGGGACTAAAACCCGCTGCCAACTTGAAAAAATTAAATTCTATTGAAATTATTTGCGATAAACATTGTCTATATAGCAAAGAAATCTACTCATATGCACATAGCATACATATTGACTAATTAACAACATAAAAATATCATATTTAAGTAGTTTAAATTATATTTAATGAACGCATAAAGACTATGTAGATGTGGCAACAGCGCTAATAATTGACTAGCAGTTGTACACACTGCGAACCTACAGACCTCGGACATCGGAGATATTGCGCGTCAAATTCGGGTAAAGATGCGTACGCGTTCAAAAATGTATTGTGTGTAAACTATGTACAATATAATTATTATATATAGCAAATATATCGTATTATCCTCGCGAAGATTTGTATCCTTTATTTAAAATCCGTAAATCATGTGAACTGGTAAAACAACGAGAATTATGTTAATTTAGTTCTAAAGAAATGAAATGACACTCGCGCCCATCTCTCGTCCAAGTCAAAGAAAATGTTGGATGCAATTTTGAAGGTTCTGTGATAGAAATTACATTATTACTCACTGTTCGTGTTTTTAATCTCTATTTTAGTAATGTTACAAAAGTTTTGCAACTATAACTAATTTTTTAGATATAAAGTTTGCTGAGAAATATTTATGTTCCTTTGTTATTCCGTACAAATGCTTTTATCTCAAGTATTACTAATTATATTAATCAAGTAAAGAAAACTTTATGTAACCCTAAATATTGCTGGGTAATGATTACGATGTTTTTATAAACCATTAAATATATTAAAAGGATTTATCAACTGTATTTTTTATTCCAATAAATATATCACAGCTTCCTAGTCTTTTTTAATTAATCTAGTTTTTTAAAAACATTACAAAAAATCATCTGTTGTGGATAATTTATTGTTGATAACAATGTACATGGGATTTAGGAAAAATGTATATGTTTGAAATCAATTTCGTTTTTATCAAGTCTTTCAAATGTATTCCCTCCTTGCTGTCAGCTGATTGCGACGTTGCCACATTAATCCTCAAGTCAGACAGAAATGCAATTATTGGTTTCTGTTTCTAATTAATACAGCTGTACTATGTTCAAAACTTACATTAGTTTTACATCAAAAATAAGATAATACTGTGTACTATCTATGGAAAAGTTTTGTTTCACAATTTCTACATTTTTTTCTCAGTTATGGGCAAAAAAAGAGCCGCACCGTCCATCTTCGCCATATAAACCTATGTTAAAATAAACAACTTTCAACATCTCAAAATCTATATTCAAAAAAAATTTCAAAAAAATATGACGCACAGGGGGAGCACTGGGTAATACGCTATATAAATTTCAAGTACATATGTGCATTTGAGTAAACCCGATATACCTCCTTAAATTGACAAAAAACATGGTGCCTAATTTCAAATAGTCCAACTACTCTAAATTTAAAAACTAAAATAATAAATCCAAGACTATTCGGTTTATAAAAAAATA